CCGTTCGGGCATGAACGTTGTTTCTATGGTCCTTCATAATGTACTTATGCAGTTAGCGAAGGATGGGTAAATGCGCCCCTCTAAAGTTCTGTATCAGTGCAGACTACCTATTTATAGTGTCCAGGTTAGCAGCTCCGCCCCAATGATATATGGAAGTGTACTGGGAAAGAGGTACATCAGGAAATGCGTGGGGTTCTACTCGCGCAGTTTCTCAAATATATCAAAGTTTCACACCAACGCTTTAGAACTCGATCTTCAAACGGTATAATCACTATTATGCGAACTCGGATGTTTGGTATTAATGGGAGTAAACAATTAAATTCTCACTTTGAAGTACTTTAATGTATAAAATAAATATTTTAATCAAAATCTAAAATACGCTTTTCAGATAAGATTTCGCTTTTCTTTCTCGATACACATTTTTATTTTTCGGAGTAAATTTGATTTATACCGAAAGTATACGTGATCTAAAAGATTTTTTTAAGGAATCTATTGAGAAACTATGGCTAGTGCTGACATGTCTGTTATGAATTTTGATTACCTGTCTGTGAGGAATGATTACATGGGCGATTAAGTGGTTCATAAACATTACTTCAACGTTTTTAGAATGGAGGATGAAGGATTTCGAGGAAACAATCCTCATCTTCAGTAGAATTGTCAGTTTAGTTGAAAAAATATATTAATCATCAAAATTTAACACATCCTCCAAATTTAACTTCATCTTTTTTATCCAAACTTGAAAATTTCTTACTTTAATAATTGAACAAATATAATAGAATATCAAATTTAAAACGAAAAGTTAAAATACACTCAAAACAAAATCTAAAATAATATAAAACAAAACACGCGTTTACACTTGACAAAAGATACGAAAAATGACTCTAATCATAGGTCAGATTAACTCTACGTAGTAGTGCCCCCACATTATTATTGTGGGCTGCTTTTTAATTTTCCATCTCTACATCGGTAACTAATAAACCTGATATTTATGTCTGAGGACCTTGTGGTAGTTCTGTGTAATACAGATGATCTAAGATTTTCTGATCACATTTTATGCTGTATGCTACAAAATCCCAAGAAAACATTATTTCTCCTAAAACGTTTACCTTTCCTAAATTTTGAAATAAATGGATTAGGAAGTACTTTTAATAATTTAATAAACTTTCATAACTGATAAGAGAGTTAATTATTTTAATAAATCATTATTAACCTTATTTCATTATTATGCTCGTCTTAATACTCTGGTTATGAAAAAATACTCACTACCTTGAATAATCTGAAATATTGGTCAGGTGATAAACGTTAAAAACGCTGCATATAATAACTTAAATAGAATACGTGAGCAAGTTGTGCTCTTTACTACGACAAGCTTCGTAATTTTGACTTAACTGATCCTGATAGACTGAATAAAATGTATAACATGAGTAAAATATTAATATTTAATGCTGCCTCAGCTGGAAAAATGTATATTTTTTCTACTTCTTCCTCTCTCTCTAGACCGTTTGGTCTGTTGTTCCTGACAAGAACTGCTTCTGAAATATCTCCTCAGAAGATGACCACCAGCTGTTTCCCCATCTCTTTGATGGTTTGTTATCTGGCATTCTACGGACGTGCTAAAAAAAATTACTTGCATTGTCTTCCCCATCTCACAAAGTCCTATAGCCCGCAATGGTCTCTGATGCAAGAGTTCTCAATTCTTCCCCATCTGGTTTTTCCTGAGATTGTCCTCAGGGTCGTCATTTCTGCTATCCTTAACGTGCTCTTAGTTTTGCTTGTATCTTAGGGTGCAGGTCTTGTATATCCGCACTTTACTACACACATGCATGAATTTATTCGACCAAACAATGCCTCATAGGCAGCCTGACTTCTCAAGTCCTTTACGGAATCGTGAGTGCTTGAGATGTATACACCCAAGTAGGAAAATTTCATAACTTGTTCAATAGGAATGTTGTTGAATACAAGCTTACATCTTGCTTGGGTCCCTTGCTAATGCTATCTATTTAGTTTTTGATGTAGAGATAGCCTTCTTAAGGGTATCACTGGGTGATAGAACCAATGTAGTTGTCTTTGCAGATTATCCTCTGAGTTGGCAATCGTCGTAGCGTGGTCAGCGCAGCATAGCATATTATTCAGATTTTTATTCGGCTCATTTTGTATATTTTATGTTCAAGTTATCACTTCTCCGACTATTTTGTTCATTAATAAGATGAACAAAAGTGGGCTGATATTGTCGCCTTGTCTAGAATTTAGGTGGTATCCAACCTAAGTTCTGGAGTTCTTCGCTTAGTCCTTCTCTGTCCCTTACTTTAGTCGTATTGTTTGAGTAAATCATTGGGTATGTTGTTGATTCCAGGAGATTTCTTGAGCTTTTTTTTATCAGTTCTGCCAGATTCCTAACTTCTTTTCAAAATCAAGCTATGGTATTTTTGGTAGCGTTGACGTTAACTTTCCTCTGCTGCTTCGTGGATACATTTTTGAACGGTCTGCCAAGTTGCATCACGTTCTGTTCTTGCGCAGTTTTTGTGTTACTTAATTTAGTTTTTATTTTGTTTTTATACAGATCCTCTGTGCTTTCGGATATCGGCGATTCTAGGTTACTTTTTCCAATGAATTTGGATGGACTTTTGAATGATCAGGATCGTTCTAATAAGATTTCTGCATAGGACTAGCTTATGCGAATCTCTTTGTAGATTTTCTTTTACGTATACTCAATGTCAAATTGGCATCATTTATAGTTATACTTCTGGCCACATTATTTCCAGTATCTGTGTCGCTATATTGTTTTTCCATTTATATTGTAGTTCATTATCTGTAAATCGTGTAAATATGTTTACCATAATAATATTATTTAGTACAGGTATTTGGCAACAGACAACATCTTCAAATTTTCGTAATTTGAATATTTACTTGACGAAGCAATAAGAGATATTGTGTGAGATACTTGTATCACTCCACACTAGAATGTTTGTTGCCAATATACAAGGTATTGATAAACGACATACAGATATTTCAGGGGGCGGTAGTACTCGACAAAATAGCAAAAATGTTAATGCTAACCACATGTTGGTCAAAAATGCGTCACTACAGTTTCAATCTATTTTCTAATTTTACGTTTTTCTCCGGTGTTTTTTTGAATAATCATTTCAAAAGAGACAAAGTAACGAATGCCAAAATGTTAGAACAAAAAAGAACAAATGTCATGAATGCCATAGAAAGCATGACTACTTTGAAGTGGATTAGGCAGAGCACATTGCGATGCTAAACGATGATCGATGGACCAAGAAAATTATGAAATGGAAACCAAGACAAGATGCTTTTAGGGACAGAGGCCGTCCTGCATCCAGACGATTTAAGGCGTATCCATACTAACGGGATGCAAATTGTTCAGGATAGGGAGTTATGGAAGCACGTACGGATATTAAGGCGCACGTACAGCAGGGATCTCTAATCAACAAATTTCATTTCATTCATCTAAGCTTCAAATAATTCAATAACCTTTGTATAAATTATCTAACGTCAGCTTTTCCAGCGATTATATTTAAAAGTTGCAAGTTTCATTACTCATTCTATTTTATTTTTACCTGTAGTTAGAAAATTCTCGCACAAATTTTCTTCGAGGACTAAAGCATTTACTATTTTTATGTTTTCCTTCACTTCACTTTTCGATTTTTTTCATTACGATACATTTACAAATTTTCTTAGATTTAACACGAGATAATTAATGTTTCTTTTATTATTTCAATACTTATTTATAATTATAATTATTTATTAAAATATTAATATCATTATGACATTGTCAAGAAAATTTTGTATTGGCATGTGTAACCATTAGATTACATTTTCTATATCGAGTTTCAAATAAAGTATTCATAAAGTATCACAATATAAAATACTATAATAAACGGGTGTAGATAAGGCGAATACAGCGTTGAATAGTGAATCCTCGAGTAAATAATGCTCATTTTTAAAAAGACTAACACAATTGTTATAATGGGAAATCAGATCCCAATGGCTTTTTGGTCATAAATAGATAATATCTGATAAAGCCATATTAAATATATAATTTTTGTATAAATAAATGTAAATAATTTTAACAAAATATTTCTTAATACAATTGAAATCAAAATATTTTTAAAGTATGTTTGAGAGCAGAGATTTGGAAAATGTGCTTAGTAAAGCTTTTAACAGTTACGTTAGCATAAGTATTTTCAAAGTACATAGAAACAATGTAGGAAATAGTGTGGTGGTATCGTAGTTAAAGTTTGTGGTCGAGCAATGTAGCGAGAAACAACACAGTGGTGGAAACAATTCGATGGTAAGGTTCCAAAAGCGTACAATACGCCATCATTAGATAAGTTTAATAAGGGGCGGAAGTGGGTCTCTTTCGCCATACGGGAGCACATCCGCACGGCCGTTATAGTAACATCTCAGGGCGTAATGGGTAACACATGCGGCGCCGTAAATGTTAGGAATATTTATTTTCTAGCGCCCGAATGGTGCAATATATTCTCGGCATGGCAAAAACTGCCCCGCTGCGGCTTCCTCTGCTCTCGGAAAATCGGTAAAATAAGCCCGAAAGCTCCCCCGGCGACTAGCATAAGCTGAGATTATAGTTCCCGTATTAAGTAAAAGTGTAGGGAGGAAAGGGCGTAAAAATTAATGGCCGCTTTTTACGGCAGTACGTTTTCGCGTTATGAAAATGTAAATAGCCGCCGCGCCGTTAGAGTTTTGAATTTAATTAAGGTCAGCTTCTGTCGATTCTGAATCTAAACAATGATAAAATACACCACTGTGTTAATAATTTATGGTGGCATTTAACGACGTAAACGTAATTTAAAAAAGGTACTTTTCTGTAGTCGTTAAAATACAATGTTATAAAAACTGTGCTATTTTAAAACAAAAAGTACGCAGTATTATCAGTGATGCATTCTGCGTCATTTTGCGCTATCACGAAGACTACTGATTATATTACAAATATTCTCATTAAAATAAATTCTTACTGATGAACTCCACTATTTAGTCAGTCCACGTTACAGTGAATTTCATAAAAGAGGTCTAAGTAAGTAAGCATTACGAAGCAAAATATTTTTTTCAATAATTCCATTACTATTTATCATAAATAGCTAAAAGTCCTTTCCATCACTTTAACTATATATTTCTTCCAAACAATTTGTATTTAAAGGTGAACTAAATATTTACCACAGTTTATAGTACGATAACCAACTATGAACAATGTTTCAACAAAACCAGGTTGTCGTTTTATGCAATACGCCGCAGCAACGTCAGGTTAATTTCCATTTAATTTATTTGCATCACATTTATCTATTTTTTTTTAGCTGCATTATCATCCGCGGCATCATCAGCTTATGGTGTTTGGACATCACCGGCACTTCCTATTTTACAATCGGAAGCGTCCCCAATAGGTAGATCAATTTCCGACGTAAGTAAATTATCTTTTAAATTGATAATTTTTGTATTCGGTGATACTTTTTAGGAGGAAGCATCATGGTTAGTTTCATCTTTTCTTTTAACGTCAATTATTGGAATTGGTCTCAGCGGTTGGCTAATCGAACGTATCGGTAGAAAACCACCCTTAATTATTGCTTCCGTACTACAATTTCTTCCGTGGATTGCAATTATTTTAGTAACAAGTTTTGAAGGCATTATGATTGCAAGAGTAATTGGAGGTATTGGATGCGGAATTTCAATTGTTGTAAGAATTATATTTTAGAACTTTTGGGGTGTATAGTGATTTTAAAATGTTTACTAGGCTTGTGCGGTGTATAACACTGAAATTGCAGACCGTGATAATCGTGGAAAGTTGGGAACATTTTTTATGGCGTTAAAATTAACCGGATCACTTATCGTTTTGGGTATAGGCCCCTACGTATCGTACACAACCCTTGGAATCATCTGTGCAATTTTTCCCATTTTATCCATAATTTCATTAATATTTATTCCCGAATCCCCGTATTATTTAACAAAAGTCGGTAATTTCGATGGTGCAAGAAAAAGTGTTATATCATTTGCCGAGAGTAATTCTAAAGAAGAAAACATTAATGTGACATTAGCGGAATTAAAAAATAGTGTGCAAAGTGATATGATGGACAAAACTAGTATTTGGGAATTCTTATCTCAAAAAAAGTATAGAAGAGCTCTTATAGTTATGGCATGTGTTAAAACTTTACAACAATTTTCTGGATTCGCGGCAATTGAGGCATATATGCAAACAATTATTTCAAAAACTGATAGCGTGATTTCTCCAGAACAATCCAGTACAATATTTGGCGTGGTTCAAGTGCTAGGAGGTAAGTAAATTTATTGAAATGAATTTGCGTTCATGGCGATTAATTTCTGTTCTAATTCATGGCGTTTAATTGGGAAATTACTACTACGCACGTAATGTTTCAATAACCTTGAGCACGTGAGAGTAATAAACATGAAGGTAATTTATGTGCTCAAGCAACAATTTGACCTTATAGATTTCTTGTATTGATAATTATTATTTATAACAATAAGTAATTACTTTTTATCTCAATTAAATCTAGAGGGAATTAACATTATATTGAACTATGTAGTGAATTCATTACATCATATTTAAAAATAAATCGTATCTTGCTTGTTTATACAAATTAACTAATATTATTATACGTATAGTATTAAATTATTATACTTGCCATAGTTTGTGGCCTAAATACGAATTTTATGCTAAGACTTAAAAAGAATTTTACTAGTTTATTTACACCTTTCAGTTAGCTACGTTTGAGTCATTTATTAGAAATATGTCACCTTGTTTTTCCGCTGGTAATTGTTAACTTTTGTGGACTCTTTTTGCAACAGTATTGTACAGGATGGAATTTATTCCGTTGTATAATGTGATAAGAGATACCTTTTGGAGGAAAGAGTTCATTATAACGACTATCAATTTTAAGATAACGTTAGCATCTTGAACTTCATAAACAATATGCGATGCATCCTTTCAAATTCAATGACTTAAATAATAAAAACACGTTTATGCTAAATCAAAATATTTTCCAAATATTTTATTGCTGTAGGTACTGTACACTTGGGTTGCTTCATCTTGAATAACAAATCTAATTAGAGAGTTTCAATTTCTGATGTATACATATATCTATAAGTTTTAGATCTGAAAATATCTCTAAACTCTAAGGAACAAAAAAATCTCTAATTAAGACATTAGCCTCTCAGTGGTCACGTGTGTTAGACGAAACAGTTTTAGAACGTTTTCTAGTTTTCATAACTTTTCAGAAAACTTTGAAATTGTGCCTAAATTAAATTTTAAAAAGTCGTACAATTCTTGTTTATGGAGACTAAGACGTGATGCTGATATCAACCAAGCATGTGTTCTTTAAGACAAAATATGAAGTGCGGATATCTATGGAACAACTTTTGAGAAGTGGTTGTTGAACACGTGATTGGTTGTTTTTTGTTGCTGCTGATCTGAGGGGAGCGGCCCTTCTCGTCAGAGTGACCTATAGGATTTATTGTAACTTAGGTCTTCCAAAGGTTTAGGGCAGATCTAGGTCCTTAATGAACCTTAGTATTGCCCATAATATAATAATAAGAAAAAGCCAATTATTTGGTGAAAAACGATGAAATATTTATTAAAAAATTCGGTGGTACAAATTTGTTTCGATATCAACTATCGTCTTCAGACACGACTGAAAAATTAAGTGTTATAAGCGGTATAAAGGATTAAACAAAATCTCACCGTCAGAATTACACACAATAACGAAAATATAAAAACCCAAGTTGGTAAGGACGCGCAACACGTAATAAAATATTGAGGTTATGATTCCTTTTCAATCCTGTGGTGACTCAACGTCTTTGAACGAGCGGGAATATTTAAAAACTTTATGAATTGTCTATAATTATTGACGTCTATAGACTCATGAATCAGTAGTTCTTGGTCACTGGTTTTAATGTACAATTCTTCAAACAAATCCATTTCTTTTGATTTACCAATCGGTTTCAGAAGTTTGATGTTATCGATGGTCGGAGTGTGATTTTCATCTTCCAAATGTTTAAAAAATGCTGAATTCCTTTTTGTGACATGTTCCTTGTTTCTAACTTTCAGATTCCTTCCTGTTTGTCCTATATAAAACATGTTACAGTCATTGCAGGTGATTTTGTATATACCACTCCTTTCCTCTTGTTTAAATCTATGTTTAATCTCACCGTCTCGTGTAAATGTTATGAAATGTTTTTATATTTTCGTTATTGTGTGTAATTCTGACGGTAAGATTTTGTTTAATCCTTTATACAACAAATATATACACAAATATACACATTGCAACAAATAAGCAAATTTATTTGTTTTTCAGTGCTACATATGTTTCTGAATTTCTTTCCTTCTTCAGGCACGACTGAAAATACCATGACATTATCAAATTGATTTAACAAATTAACTAATGATTAAAACAATTAAGGAGCAAAAACAACATATAAGGATTAAAAGAAAAATAAAGGAAATAGCGTCACCGTCAGATCTTAGAGGAACTCCTTTTTATAATTAAAATTTATTTCTACGTTCATCAATAATTTAGGCGTATATGTTTAGGAGTTTATCCCCTGAACAAATTTGAAATTTCTTAAATGTGAAAAAATATGAGAATAGTTATTTATGGCTTGAAGAGCATGTCATATTTAAAATAATTTCTTATATCTTGATAAATAAAATTCTGAAAAACAAAGGAAATGGAGTTAGAGCACGTGTCTTATAAGTAATGTAAAAGTTGACTTACTGGTTTTAACGTAAAAATGTGGTTTATTGAATTAAATTAAGAATTTATCTGTAAAAGAAGATGAAAAACTGTAAATATGATTATTTAGTGAATGTAACTTACTGAATCTACAGATTTATTAAAATTTGAAAACTGAGTGATCTATTTTGTATTATCAACTTTGGGAGACTGAATTAAGAGATTACTATATTATTAAACTGAAATTGTGCATGCGTTGAATGTGTAATTTGAAAAATTAAATGTATTCGATGAATTGTGTATATGGTTTAATATCTGTTATATCATTCATTAAAAGCTTATTGTAATTATTATTATGTATGTGAACTTCTTCAATTAAGTCCATTTCATTTGATTTCCTTACACTTTTGATAAGTTTAACATTTTCAAATTTTATGCTGTGTTTATGACTGTCAATATGTTTAAAGATTGCAGAATTATGTTTTGTTAAGTGTTCTCTAAATCTAATGTGTATATTTCTACCAGTTTTGCTTCATCGTTAAACATAGTTTAATTATTAAAAAAAAAAGTGTTAAGCAAACTTTTCTGAAAATTTTGTGTCTGAGGCGACATCTGGCCCAGTTGTAGCATCCTTTTCCGTTTGAATGGGACTATTACTACTTTGACTATTAGTTCGGATTGATACTGAGTTCATTATTTCTGCACCAGGTGCTAGTATGTATTAGGTCTTCTTGCAATCATTGGGTTATAATTGTATTATATTTACCTCGGATTGTGATTACCAGGACATCTGCATATCCCTGAATCGTGAATCCATTCTCTGTTAGGATTTTCAACTGGTCATCAACTTCTAGATGCCACAGTGATGAAAGCACTTTTAGGAGATGCTCATCCTCAACATCCTCAGCTCCCAGGTTGGTAAGTGTTGCTTAGTAACACTTACCGACCTTGTGCTGTTATAGCTCACTTATCGTACTCAAACTGATAATGTAAACATCAATATACCGGACAGTATGAAATAAAATCAAAGAAAAGAACTTCAATGAAACTAAACGTAATCCATAAAAGTTTGTTAAAATTCTAATTTTAATTTGAATATTTTATGTTAACTCAATAGCGACTTCTCTGGAGAAACCAACACAACGATCGTGAGTTGTGTCATCCTTAGTATAGAAGTACCTAACACCAAGAGACCAAGCAGCTCTTGTAGCGTTGGCCTTTATAGCAGCTCTTTATATTTGTTTTGAATCTCTTCTTTTGAATGCAATTTAAATTTGTATCAAGTCTAACCATAAAGGAGAGTGTTACCTTCTCAATTATGTGGTTGTTGGTGGCGATGTATGTCAAGGTTTGTCCATAACAGTTATAAACCAAGAAGATGTTATAGTGATTCTTATAGTTTCTTTAAAAAAATACTATTGATACCAAGTATTTACTCACCAAGAATTCACACAAGTACTCACCTCTTATAGCTCTTTCGCGATTTTATGTATTTCATAAACAAACTTTAAATCCTAAAATGAAAACTCTTTTGTGTCCCCAATAGAACAGTTTTAGATGCTGTCCTCGATAAGCATCGATATAAGTTCTCGAAGAATTATCACACGGCCAATGTTTTTTTTTTATTATTGTCCGAATTTAGAGCTTATTTTAAAAGCATGACTCAGCGGTAAATGTACAAATATACATAGAAATTTTGATTCAAATTTGTTAATCGAAATCATCACTCATTATATGATTTAACTACAGTTACTAAATTCGCAAACAATGAAATGGTATTTTGCTATTCTTCATTTTTCACTCAATTATAGTACACATTTCTATATTGCAGTACTCACAAAAAAAGTTTTTAAGTAATATCGGTTTTTAGAATCAATGTGAATAGCATTAATTAACGTCTACAGCCACTTTATTTTCAGTTTCCGTTGTTTTTTGTTGTTCCATATTTTCATTGTTTGCTCACAAAAGTATACCCAACATCGACGCTAGGTTGCACAATAAAATTTAATTATATGGATTTTACAGTTCAAGAATTACCATGTGTAATATTTACCCAGAGTTTACAATGAGACCCCGGGAACGAATAACGTTGATATTTTCTCTTTTTGTTTCAGTGTTCGCGGCAAGTTTCATGGTGGACAAACTCGGGCGGAAACCGCTTCTCGTCGTCTCAGCCGTGGGTTGTGGACTTTCTTTGTGCGGTGAAGGCGTATATTTCTATATACAGAATGAAACTGTGTACGGCACGAATGGCATTAAGTGGATGCCAACAACGGGGATCGCCCTATTTATGATTATGAGCGCAATCGGCATTATAAGTATACCGTACGTCCTGCTCGGCGAACTCTTTCCGGCCAACATAAAAGGAATTGCGGTCTCTATCACCACCATGTACGGAACCGTACTTGCCTTTGCGGTCTCGAAATCGTTCGACCCGATTTCTAGAGCTCTCGGTATCCACTCGATGTTTTGGCTTTACTCTGCCAACTGCTTGGTGGGTGCCGTTTTCGTCTTGTTCTTGTTACCGGAAACTAAGGGAGAAACGTTTGCCGATATCCAAGATAAAGTGAATAGTAAAGGTCAAAAAGGTATTTACTATTTTGTAGTTTAAGTTTTCTATTGTTATATTTATTTATAAATATTTGTTTTTTATGGTATGTTTTCAATAAATATTTATAACAAATCATTTATTTTAACTATTATTATCTAATAGATCAAATTTATACTCTACTACTTCAATCATTAAACTTTATCACGAAATCAATTTCTGCAATTCTCTATGATCATAACGAATGCAACTTGATATCTCAACCTTAGTTGCAGCTTCGATTTGTGATATTATAATTTATAAATTGCGATAAAAATATATATGACGACTGTGGTAGCACCACTCGTAAAGAAATATGTGCCATTTAGTTGAGAGTTTTCAATTTAAATAATTTTTCCAATGCAATATACTAAAAATCACCGTTTGGAAATTCCCCGAGTGTGAATTTTGCCCGTACATCAATTCATACATTTCATGGTTACGACACAAAAGGCAATCTTCGAAAAATAAGTTACAACTGTGATAACAACAACGGCGAGAATTGCAAAAATATTTTTAAATGTTCAAAGAATTTTACGCAAACATACGTTAAAAAGATTATTTCACTTCTGAATGTTAAAAATTTACGTAATAAACAAATAACAAGCAACTCATATATGAAAAATACGATTTCATGTAGAGAACTATTCCTTTATCTTTGATAAAATTAATGTGTATATGAAGTAATAACGATGAAATATTTAAATGAAGCTTTAGACTATCTGAAATATCACCAAATATGATTAGTTTCAAGATGTTGCCACTAGATGGTCATTTCAAAGTCTGAGTAATCTTTTTTCCTCTGTACCCTTGGAGTTATAAGAACTTAAGTTATATTTCCAGATTTTCTACACTTATTAAATTTTTATCTTACGTAGTAACTTAACATTGCCATGTCGTAGAAAACAGCTAATGCCTTATTTTTAAAGCTTGTTATCAGCAAAGTATCCAAATTTTTGTGTTGATTTCTAAAATATTGATTTTTTTTGGAAACTTTTGATGTAAATTTTGCGGCTTCCTGTTCGAACGCACGTTTGAGAACGAATGGACATTCCACTATGTGTTATGTCTATGTAAGTACTTTGGATTTCCCTCTGCAATTTTTACGGTATAGTATTAACAAATATTTCTTTCGAAATATGAAAGAACAAAAATCGATTTTTAACTGTCACACAATAATGCCTTCAAAAAATCTCTAAAATCTGGTTCCTCCTCAATACTGTAAAGGGATCAGATTAAGGAATCCTGAAAAAGATGATAAGATGGTATTGGGAGAAAACAATGAAATGATACCACCCGTGGATACCAACAGCTTTATCAGATATATTTTAGACGAGTCTATTTTAAGGATTTAATATCGTGTGGTACCTTCAGCTATGTTTAGCACCCACTTAAATAACTGATTCACATTCTGGTGATATATTCTTATGGGGTTGATCTTGGATTTAAGCTATAACTGTAAATTTAACATGTCCAGCGACACAACATACACACAATAATAAAGAGAATAACATAGTGTATACTGACCATACCTACGTTGATTAGACTCACGATGATCATACGATGAACTTTAAGTAAAATTTTCTTTGTTCTTCAATATATTAACACTGTGCATGGAGTGATGTTAGAAACAATGTAAGTCCTAACCCACCCTATTCCTTGTAGTGACAATTCCACCCATGATTCCTCCCAAAGGCCCAAATACATTCAACTCCTCAACATCCTTTAACCCCAGATGCTCAGAAATTCGTCCAAGACGTGCACTTCCGTCTACAAATCGCAAAACATTTACAATTCTTCGACCACTCGGATACCAACTCAGGCCGAATCAACTCAAATCCAACAAACACAAGTCCCATGTGGAGACTGAGCTTACACCAGAGCGAATGCACCTAAGTAATTCCTTCACAATCCTGTACGTGTCTCTTCTCTAATCCAAATAGCTCCATTTCTCCTGTCATATCCGCCTTGTGAGTGTTTTAACCCGTTTTTCAGTTTTCTTGTATAAAATAGGGTTTTCCTTGTTCACTCTCTTTCTCAAAACACTTCATGCTCTGCTTTCTCACCGATCAATATCTCAAGTACGCTTTAACCACCATCAAATCCATCTTTCCAGCCAAAACCTACTTGTTCGATGGCTCTACGATCCAACCTTTGCCTCACTATCCTTTGCCTCCACGCTATCCAATGCTCTGATCCCAAACTAGTCTCCAAATTGTATGCAAAACCTTTCTTTCGAAGGTTTCAAGTTTATCACTCATAGAACCCATCTTCCGCTGACATATACCAAAATTAGTCTAATTATTATTTTATACAGGGTGATTCTCAACCTGTACGTGTATATATGGAGATTTATTCCTCATTGCAAATAATGACTAATAGGTGAAAAAATTGTAGTAAATGTTTTCTAGTTTCTTGGATATTCCTGGATAGATTAATGTGTTTCCCGATGGATAGGTCGAGAATAGGCGATATAGGTCCAATGCCCTGACCACCTATATCACCCGACCTCAATCCTCTTGATTTTTATTTTTGGGGTCACTTAAAAAGCATAGTGTACGCCACCAAAGTTGATACTGAGCAAGAATTGCGAAATCGGATACGTAGCCGAGACAATCCGCCAACACTCTAGTTTTTGCCCCACTAGTGGTAGTGGCCGTCCATAACGCGTCTCTTCAGTTGAGAGTGTGTATCTTCTGCTCAAGTTCAAACTTTCTTTGTCGATGTCTAATAGTCTTATAAGTTATGATGAATGAAGCGTTAGATTGAATGGAGTTGGGGCTAGCCCGTTCCCCTGTTTCAGTTCATTGTTTATACGCACCCACGATGGTACAATCTAAATTGTACCATCGCATAATCATCTTTTATGCCTTGTTTGTCACTCACCATTTGGCCTTCCTTATTCTTGCAGAGGCTGGTTTGAGCTATACACTGTTCTCAATTTGTTTAGGTATTTATATGCCCTTCTTATTCTATTCTCTTCCATTCTCTCAGTCTACCCTTTCACACGATCCCTTTTCTTCCTTCTACATAATTTGTCTGTTCTTCAAAATCTATTCACTCTCCTCTATGTCACATACCTATTATGTGCTCTGTTTCTCTCTTGTATGGCATCATTATACAATTCATCAACTCACGATACTCTTTTTCTTTTTCTCTGCAATATTAGGAAATATTAATTTTGCAGTATTCGTTACTGCCATTTTAATGTTCTGCTACTGTTCTTGTATCGGTTATGTATCCAGTTCCAGCTTTATCAGCTTTCTAGTAATTTTCTTTTGGAAACTCACCTGTATTTCTGGCTATTTTAGTTTTTCTATGTCAAATTTGTTAATCTATTGTCGGTGTTCGTTTTTCTTGTTGCTTATTCTCCACCTGAATTTCGTCTGCACCAAAAAATGATCTGCACGACAACATGCTCCTCTTCGTCTTTTTACGTCCACTATACTGGTTGCTGCTATTCTGTCTAGCGTAACGCGATATTTGATTCCATCCATCGCGCGATATCCACATTCTATGTATATCTCTATGTGGGCATTGAGAATTCCGCAACCTTCTCAATATTACACCTCAAATCAATTGTCGAACGCCCTATATCGACGTATACAGTTTAACTTATTTGCCTCATTCACCATCCTTTGAACTGTCACCAGCACTTTCACGGGCTTACACCTAAACATCCTTCTCCTCAACTTTTCCTTGCACTCATAATCTTGTAAGGATATAATTTAAGATTACAATGTGATCAATACGGTATACTCATGTCACTATTCAATCTAATATTCAAATTGCGAAGTTAGAATGGGTCTTAGATGCAGCAGGTCCCATTGGCCTTATATTTTTCGCCCATGTCAAAATTATTTACCGAGTTATATCTACAATGATAAAGTAAAAACTTAATTTCGATAACCTTTATATATAGTTTATATAAATTACCGCAGTAATAAGATGATTCAAATTGGCGTATCCTTTTCATTTCTTTAAAATTTCCCAATTTCCCAATATGGATTCTCCATATTGCCTTTAACCTTTGCACACATTGGCACCTCTTTAGGTTAATCCGCGTCTCCTTCTATATCATCGCAGACGTTCCTCAAAATCATGTTATTGGTCAACAAGGATGGAGCTTTCTTCAACATGCCCTATAAGTAGTCCTAATACTTCTTTGACACCCACAATACCATCCAGAACACCTGTCCATCTGATGAATGTTATAACTCAACATTTACACCATCCCTGGTCTCACACAATATCGTTCTTGCGGCCTTGGTTGTAAATACAATTTATTTATAATAATACAGAGAAGCTTGAATTTAACAATTATTTTTTGATATACATACTTTGAAAAACAAATTAACCAATAATATAGATATGCTTAGGTTGGAATTATTCAAGTTTCAGTAATAAATATGTTTAAAAGTTTTCCGTAATACGTTATGTTAACTTGGGACGCTTCTTTATTCTTCTCGTTGGTCGGGCTGTACGAAGATGGCCCGGAAACAAGTTATGGAGTCGAGTCCCGGTGCGGACAATATAAAGTCAACTAACTTTTCAATTTTCTTTGCAAATCACCTCGGCGCCTACGTTACTAAAACTCACTAAAACTATCGTCTCGGTACTTCCATCACCTTCCCTTCGTACACCATAAAGTTATACATAAATGAAAATACTGTATGCAAATTGCATGATTTAGTTTCATCAAGATTATGTAAGAAGAAACAAAGTTCGAATCAAAATTATAGATGTAAACCAAATTTTCCGTGCAAGATATAGTGTGTTAATTAATTATTGTGCCCGACGATCGTATCACAGTATTTATTTTATAATACGCGATTTGCGTATTGCAATATCAATACTGTGATATTGGTTGCATACTTGCAATGATGACGTCGGGTACGATAATTAATTAACACACTGTATATGATTGCAATTTCTGTGTATTATATCAAAACCAACTTTGAGATACTATTGCAAACCACCAAATTTATTTTCTTTTTCAATATAATCTCTTGCGATATATCGGTGGAGGTAAATCATGGCGATTTTCTGAGTGTT